CATAACATTAGTCTATTTGGGGCAGAAACGGCCCCTATCATCCAACATGTGTTTTAAGAAGCTATTCACCTTATAAGGCTAACAATAAGAATAAGTGCAGAAATCAAAAATTAAATGAGATTTAAGATAAAGCAAGAACAATAATAAACAATAAGGCGCCGCTAGTAGCTATATTTGTTTAGCATGATAATTCGGGATGTATGTTAATATGTCATATCGCAATTTGTTCGATTAATTTGTTTATTAATAATAACTTAAGTATTAATTTATACGAATGCTTTAGAGACTGCCGCCAACGTAATCAGATTAAACGTATTGCAAAATTAATTTCGTATAAACAATTATACGCTTGCAACGGTAATTATCAACAATTACCAGTGATTAGTAACGTCGTAGTGCGCGGTGTCCTTTGGTAACAGCGTCGCGGATGGCCGTTAATTATAATTAAAATTAACCAATACATGCTAAATTAATAATTATTTATTAGTCTTATGTTAACACATACACAATTACCGTTCGGGAAACGGTAAACAAAATCGCGATGCACACAAACAGACGATTGCCTATATACATGTGAGCAAAGGCAGAAATAATCGTATGTGAGGGGTTGCACTTGAGCCCTTTGAGTTATGAACATAAAATCATGCATATATGTATAGGCACACAAACATATACGAGGCAGAAAGGTCCAATTAGACCTTAAACGATTATATTGTGAAAACCAAACCTTTGTGATAACATCACAAAAAATAACACATATCGAACAAACAGCTATCTGACTATGTTCAGTAAAAATCCCCGCGAATTCATCACTTTGGAAAAATGTTATTTTTGCTTCTTTTCAAATTTTTTTAACCTGATCCTTTTTACGCCATAAAATGAGTCGGCCGCGGGGCAAACAAGTCCAATGTTTATTTTTCTGTTTTTGGTCTTTGTCCCGTAGGGTAAGTTTTGTAATTGTCCTACAATCGAAATTAAAAATTTTTGCATTTCTTCACGTTCGATTGCTATTGATAAGGACGTGTACTGATTAATTTTTGGCAAAGACAGGTCCAGCCGTTTCAGAGATACGGAGCAAAAATTGTAGAAAATAGAAATCGAGTTTTTGAGAGAACGGAGCATCTGATGATGATGATCTAAAAAACATTAAATTTGTAATGATGGGAAGAGATGGTTATTTGGTAAAGGCAGGTCTAGCCGTTCCGAAGATATAAAGCTAAATGTGCAACAAGTGGCAGTTTTTGAGAGTACTAAGCATCCGATTTCAATGATTCAAAAAACTTTTTGCTTGTGTAGACGAAACGATTGCTTTTGAGCAAAGATTTTTTTTTAATTTCTAAAAAATATTTTTTTTTACTGAATTTTATGCTTCGAATATTTCATTATGGTACAGGAAGTTTTAGTATTTTGCTTTAAGGCACGATGCCATACATCACTAATTTAAATAATACCCCACTCACGTGTTAATTTTCATGCAAGCTATATAAAAAAATGATGAATCTGACTTACATGATACTTAAATGATGAATTAATAATTCGTCTTATAAAACAATTAAATAACGAATACTTAAAAAATATATCAAGATCTCGTAAACTAAACAACAGTGCTCACAACCAAAAAAACTAACAACGAAATAAAATACTTTTGTTGTGGATTTTCAAACATTGCCGTTTATCTCTCGAAATCAACGTCGTAAGAATTAAGGCGATGGCTGGTTATACATTTTTTCTTTAACTTTCAAATATTGTTGTTAAAAAATTTCACGTGTATTTGAGATATTGGTGGTAGACCTTTTCACCCGTGGACCTTTAAGCCCCGCTCTACCCTACATATACATAAAAGTGCAGTAGGTTGTGCTATGTCAAATATTATTAGTTACAACCTATACTGCCAATCAACACCAATCAAATAAATCACTAATAGCTTTTTCAACAGTATATTTATTGCATTTGAATATTGAAGTTACTTTAAACAAACCTGTTCATAAAACTGATATATTGCTGATAAATAAATCATTTTTAATATCATATTTTATATTAAAGTAAATCATGTACAAACAACCCTTCGTTAAGGCGGCGAGTGCGCACCGTGTAATATGGAAACCGCGCTATGAGAAACTGGGAGTTATAGTGTGTACAAAACAAATTGTACATACTATAAATACAAATTTCTCATAGCGCTGTTACCATATTACACTGTACGATTCATGCTAATTTGTAGTGCGTTCTTGCGATCGCGTTGTTTGTGAACCGTGCTATGAGAAACTCAGATTTCGTATAAATTGCAGCATTTATATCGCGTTATATAAAGATCAATAAGACAGGATAAATTATAAATTATTTATATTAAATTGAAGAGTTTATATGAGGTTACGATAAAATAACGATATTAAAATCTGTTTTCAGGGCTCGCCCGTAGGTAAGCGGTTAAGAGCGACGGGACCTGAATCAGAGGTCCCGGGTTTGATACACACTTCGAGCAGCCTGTTCTCAGGCAGCAGTGACAACGATTTTCACTTGGAAATATAGATAGCAATATGTTTCCAAGTGAAAATAGCCCTTGCCCGGCATTGCTGCACCAATAAAAAAAAGTCAGCCCTATTAGATTAATTCTAATAACAAAAATCATCAAATATGGATGGATTAACCATTGGGTTACCGTCTAAAAAATATGAAGTAAGGAGAAGTTTCAGCCCAACAGCTCATAAGACGTAAGGTTCTGATTGCTGTTAAAAATATAAAAAAAAATCTGTTTTCCAACACAAAAATATTCAAGCAGATTTTTTTTTGAAAGACTAATGTTCTCTGTGTAAGATCTGTGAAAGTAAGCCATGATTATCTTGGATATGTATATAAATATTCATAAAAGATAGGAGTCGATAACAAGACTTGCTTTAATCTAACTTTTTATAACATCTACTTACTAGAATCATTCATTGTTTGCGCGCAATACAGTGAACTTATGAACAGTTGAACGAAAACCGTGTTATAGGAGGTCCGTACATCTCTAGAAACTACTTGATTATTTTTTATATCAGCGCCTATTCCATGCTGAACATCAGCAAATTTAAAATGGTCGTTCTTTAAAAATGTCCAAATCAAATGCCAATCGTTTGATTGGGCGTCCGCATATGATGAAAACTACTTGATTTGATGTAGATTTTAATACAGATTAAAGAAGTTTTTGCATTTTTATTTTAATTGCCATTAATTTTCAGTTTTGTGTATTAGCTTTATCGAAAAATTTTATTATATACAATATTTGGTGTGCGGTGTACGATTTATTTCTTGTGCTAATATAACTACACTTTTAATATTTTTTATGTTTTTGGAAAGATTTGACTTTATTTTAATCATAACTAAAAATGGGTGTACATTTACCAAATGAAAAATTTAACATATAAATGTTCATGTTTAGAAAAAAGCAGCTATCAAAGATACTAACTAAAATAACCTATAATAATAATTGATCCATTAATTAATAAATAATTTATCAATTACTTGTTAAGGTAAAAATAGCAAAAATGTAACAAAATAATTTGGATTAAAATAAGGCAAGATCCATTTGATTTAAGATAAGAATGTATAAAATAAAATATTAAAAATTATTAGTATTAACAAATTAAATAAATTAGTATTAATAAATACTAAAATAAGTGATTATAAAGAATATAAGATGAATAAAATATTTCGAATTAAAATACGATGCAAAAACCAAGCTAATTATTTTTTTTTAATTTCACGCAAACGAAATCTCGGGTACAGTTTGATGAGATAGGATAATGTTTTTTTCTAAAATAAAAGTAGCCCAAGTTACGCCCAATTACATCAGCTACCTGTCGAACAAAAGTTTCGTCAGAAGCGGTTCAGCCGTTTTAGACATTAGCCCAAACAAAAAGGCAGGCAGACAGACAACATTCTAGAAGATGTTACTTTGGTTATGTAACCTATTTATATTCATATGCATATATTAAACAACAACATTTCCAATTGATATCTTCCAAACAAAATGATATTATCTGTAATTGTAATTTATTTGTCACCACTGTAATTCATTTTTTTTTATTTCTGGTTGTAAAATGTATTTTATTTAAGTGTGGATGTCGACTTTAATCAGTAGCTACATACAAAACACGGAACGTCCATATGTTTTGGCATAGATTCTAATTTGAATTACTAAATTTAATTGGGCGCGCAAGGCAAAATTATAAACTTTGATGATCTATAATTCAATATATAATTCTTTTAATATAAGCCTAAAATATTATAGGCTTATTGTAGGCCTATAATATTTCAGTGTGGTATTTTAGACTACGAAATCTGTCAATTTCGTCAAAAAACAAACAGCATGTGTTTACGAAGAAACGGCTCGGCTGATCTTCACCAAAAACTAATCAACGCGATTCCCAAGCAATATCTATCGAACAGTTTTTGCGATTCAATATTGTGGGCTTATATTATTTTGATTGACAATAAAACTATGCAATATAAAAAAAATATTGTGGGCTAAAACTTTCATACTTCCCTGAGAGAAACCTTTACAAAGAGACGGCTCGTCCGATCGTCGCACAAAACTGATAAACGCAAGTCTTATTGAGATACATCGAATGGATTATAATTTTTTGCAATCGGTCTAGCCGTCTTTTAGACAACGTCGACAAAATGTCAAAAATCGACTCACATACACAAACACACGTACGTGTATATAGTTTTTCCAAATTTGGTTGCATTCGATTCAGAATGGCTTGAAATGCCGAGAACACATGAATTAAGCAAATAGAATATTTCGCGAAAACAAACCTCTTCTTCGGGAAGATAAAAATACATTTTGCATACATCACTTACAATAAATATTATGTAAGTGACTACTAGCCACCATATACAATAAAATTTTAAGTTTCTTTCTACTAAAATGGTAATATTTTTAATTAAACTTATCAAATTTACATTATGTACTATGAATAATATTATTCCGTAGTATAGATTAGATTAATTCCTACCTTTAAATATAATTTATCCTAGAATGGAAACTTTCACAAACACACAAAACTCAATTAATGCAGCACAAATATAAAGTAAAACTAAAAAGTCTCCACATTATTTCCACGATAACTAAATACATTATTTTTCACTAATTCAGTTATTTGAGTTCCTGATCACTTGAACAAAACAATCAAAATTTGTCACATAAAATGTTGCTCGTCATGTAGGTAACTAACTAATGTCGTTTGTGATGAATACACTTGTTCACTTCAACTGTTACACTTTTATTATGTTGGGCAATGCGCGTACCTGTTAAGAGAAAATTCTGTTTAAAAACGATATATGTAATGACAGGTATACATATTCCTTATGCCAAAAGTCCTTTTCGAGCGGTAAATGTCATAAACCTTAGTTTCCATGAACCACGCACATCTGTACGAGCGGTCGTGGAGTAGAAATTGTAAATAAATAAATGTCCGCGAGGTTGATAAAATCACAAATGGCTTTTGGCATTGTATTTACCAGCAAATCACAATTAATTGCTAATCTCACAAAACAGCAGAAACATCGAATTGGATTAAAAAATGCAGATTTTTAAAACTATTTATTTTTTTAAGCCAAGATGTGTTTCTCTGTATTTTTTTTTTTTTTGTCAATCAAAACCTTATTCAAGTTTTATAATACAAAATTGTTGAGTATATAAAAAAACAAAAAAATAAACCTAAATACAAAAATATAAATGTAAATAATGAAATTTATTTTTAATTTTATTATTACCTTCCCGTAGGGTAAGTTATTGTAAGCGCAAATGAAATTTTTTGCATATCTTTACGTTTCAAAGGTTTCTGAATATTTTGGCATACCTTACCTGTTAGAAAAAATTGATGTTTGGATACAAATTTTCGTCGACGATTTCGTGAACACGAATCAACCGATTTGAATAATTTAAAAGGCATTCAATTCCTATTGATGGAAATACGTGCTGATTAGTTTTTGGCGGAGGCAGGTACAGCCGTTTCGAAGATACGGAACGAAAAGTGCTAAAATGGTAATTCAGTTTTTCAGAGAACGGAGCGTCCAATTCGAATGATTCAAACAAATATCGTTGCATTTGTATTGACGAAATAAAGAACTGATAAAATTTTTGGGAAGGCAGGTTTAGCGATTTCAAAGATTTATTTAAAAACATGTTAAAAAAGTGCCATTTGGCGGTCAAAAATGATCATTAGACATATGCACATCAAACTATCAGATATTTTATGAAGATTTTAATAAGAGGAACAAATTTTCTTTACATTTCTAAAGGTTGCGTACCAATGTTTACCTGTTAGCCAGCAACGCAGCGCTTATGCGCTTGCAAAATATGACGAAATATAAAAAAATCATTTTTTAAGTGATTTTTTTATAAATAATTTCAAAATTCTCATAAATCCATTTTTTCAAAGTTTAAAAAAAATCTTATATAAAAATTGCAGATTGCGTTACGGAAACTTTCAGCAATATGCACCACTAGTTCAATTTTAATTAGCTTGAGTTTTATTTATCTTTTTCCTAGCGATCATAAGTAAGTTACCTACGGTGCTAGAGCGTACCAACAATGCAATCACGACAAGTCCAATGCGAAATGCGCTCACATATGACGAATCATATGTTTATCGACACATTAAATTTGCTATGTTTATATGCCTGACGGCTCAGTTTAGCACAGGCAATCGTATAGATTAGAATCAACGGTCGTTTGTAACTGCATTCGGTAAGTATCGATATGAACAAAATTCTGTTTGTTAACAAATGTGATCTACACATTGTATAATGTTGAAACAATTATACTACATAATATATGGTGAATTGATTTACTTCTGTTTAAGACAGCTTCGTCGTGATACAGATCCCTAGTGTCCATTTACGTGGTATCTTCATGCGGGCAAGTCAATTTCAAATACATCTGCTTAAATTTGAAATGCTTTTATCAGACTGTTTTAGAAATGTTAAAAATGTATCATTAGGTTGTTTATTTTTTTATTGTTTTCTATTGACCATTTCAGTACAAGCGACAAGTTTACTTGACGGCCGCAGATGGCCCCCCACAGACAAGCGTCACTATTACATGACAGTATTTCTAAATGTCACAACAGGGTCTGTCTATGAACGACGCAGCATACGGACGATGCATGCCGGCTGTGAGCGATGTTTCGTGGACAGTAGGCGCCATACCGAAGTGATTAAAAATTATGCTGTATTGAACAATTATTATATTGCAACACGCTTATTGACAGTTCTAGGTTCTGTCTATGTGTATATTCAATGACGGGTAGCCTGGATTTAATTTGGATTGGATTTAGCCTGGATTGGTGATTTCTTATTAGCCGTGTTCAATATTAATGGCTTGTTAATAATATCGATTGTTGAAAGTGAGATACAATGTTGTTCATACTTATCGACAGTCGAAATATGGACCTATCTTTTTGGAGAAATTAGTGGTGCCAATTTTTCATTGCGCGCATTATTGCCAATACAATAGTGTGTCATTCTAAAATCATTTTTTCTTAATCAGTATGTCTATAATAACACTTTGCTGACCATATACATAAATTTTTTATGAAATGGTAGCGGCTTTTGTTTTTAGTTCTTATTTTACAAATCAAAGCAATTAGAATCAGCATCAATCTTATTTGCATTTAAAAATATTTTTTTAATATTTCTGGTAATGGAATATAATATGAAAGAATTTGGTATTTTTTGGCCAAATGTTAATTCCTGTTCAGTTAACAATCTGTGGAAAACTTTTCATATACATAAGTTTTACCAGGCTGAAAATAATACTTGAACAATAGATTCAAAATTTTATCCTATTCAATTGTTATCCAAGCGTTTTACCTAAAATAAAAATTTACCGTTATTGTATTGTATCATACAATGTATGTATTGTTAGACCAAGAAAGTTATATTTCTTGGCCTTTTCTACAAATTGTAATGAAGATTGAAAATACAATATTTATCCAAAATATAAGTATCATTTATTAAAAACGGTTGTCGTTTACAATTTATTTAAGTTTTAATACTGGTAGAAACTAACAATAAGTTTTATTTTTTTAAAACGATCAATTTCTTAATTAATTATTAAAAGCGCCAAAAACTAACTAACGCCATTTATGTAAAAAAACACTGCAAATTGTTAATAGAATTTTCTTATAACATTATTATTTACCTAACATTAATAATGATATGAAGAAGCATTTGCTTTGAAATAACTACATGCTTATATTTCTGATTTGAACTATTGCATCGTTCATGAACACCTGCCTTAGAATAAGTCATCGTTTATTTGAAAAAATATTCATTTGAAGGTCATTTCATTTGGGTGTTATTTATGACTCCCGTTTCCTACAAATAAACGAACATGTTATGCACGACCAGAACCGATAGTAGTTCAAAATACTTAAAAATCTACCATGGAAATTATTGCACTTTTTTCATATGAATTATAATCTTCCTATTTAGCAATGAAGGCATCTAGAAATTTTTGTTAATTTTTGACAGGTTTAAGTTTAAGAGGCAACAATAGTCCTTTCCATTGTTTATTTTTACTAACTTCAAATTGTATTTCAGACTTCATCTTAAAATTAGAAGGGCCCTATCATTGTAAAATTAAAAATAAAATAATTATATTATATATAATATAGCAACTTCTACTTTTTCACATCACTTTTTAGAAGACCCAATCCGACAGTTGACCAAAGAAAGCCAGGTGTTTAATTTATTTTCAACTTACGTAGGATAAGTTATTGTAATCATCCAAAAATCGAAAATGAGAATTTTTGCATATATTAACTTCCCGAAGGGTAAATTATAGTAACCGCAAAAAATCAAAAATTACAATTTTTGCATATCTTTACATTTTAAAGGGTTCTGAACATTCTGGCAAACCCTAAAAAAAATTGTGTGTGTATATATGTACGTATGTATGTATGTATTTATTTATGTTTGGATACAATTTTTCGTCCGCATGGATCAACCGATTTGAATGATTCAAAAAACATTCGACTCCTACTGATGGAGAGACGTGCTGATTAGTTTTTTGCGAAGACAGGTCCAGCCGTTTCGGAGATACCGGGAATAAAGTGCCAAAAATGGTAGTTCTGTTTTTGAGGTAACGGAGCGCCCGAATTGTATGATTGAAAAAACATTTTATTTGTACTGACGAAGTGAAGAATTGGTTAAATGTTTGGCTAGGCAGATCTAGCGGTTTCGGAAATACAGAGAAGAATTAAAAAAAAAACATTTGGTGGTCTAAAGTGATCTTTAGACATATGCACATCAAATTATGAGATATTTTATAGATATTTTAATAATAAGAACAAATTTTGTCCCATTTTTTTTGGGCTTCCGTACCAAGATTTTTAATTTTTAAAGTTCACTTATACGGTTCAAACAAATTTCAAAATCATCAGATTTTTTTTTTCAAATTTTTCCGTAATATATAATACAAAGTATTTATATTTATATATTTATATTTATACGTCAAATATAAATATTAAATTCACAATTCAGTTTCAAATATTATATATTTGAAAACTTGTAAGTAATATATCCTCAGATGGATTCATTCAGCATTTGTTCTTATTGTAAACATTTTCAAGTGTTTTGAGTGCTATGATCGACGCTGTATATTATATGAACGAATAAATATATAGTAATTATAATTACCTCTTTCAAAATATTTAAAACAATTGTTATTAATCATTGATCAATATTTATTGATTATTATTTTTGTTGCTCGAATATTTAATTCTAGTATGGGAAGTTACAGCAATTGGCCATAAGGCACTATGCCATGCGCCACTAGTTTAATATGTATTTACGTTTCAGAGGTTGCTGAACATTTTGGCACACCTTGCAAAAAATGGATTGTGTGGATGCAATTTTACGTCATGATTTCTTTAACGCGCCTTCGGAAAAACTTTCTTTATATTCATGCATATCTTCATATAAATGTGTGAATGTACTCAGGGATGTATGTATAATATACGAAATAACCATCGATAATATTATGAGGGCAATTCGACTGAAACACAATATTTACGAACTTATTGATATCTTCGTCGCCTCTTTGCA